TTTCGTTCCATCTCATGTAACATGTGATGTGAATGACAATAAAGTATCTTGAATCTTGAATCTTGAATCATTATAATGAATGTTCTCTATGAAATAATTCATTTTAAAGTTTTCAGTAAATCGTTCTTTTTTCTTTAAAGTGCTGTCAGCAGAGAGCAGGTCAGAACAGACTGTACGACTGTGCAGACATCAACAGTTTTGTTTAAGACAAACACAACCTGGCAGTTCTTCAATAACACTTCCTGTCTTTTAAAACCAACATCTCTGAACCAACAGTCAGTCTGTGGAGTTGAGCTGGAAAGCGAACGCTGCTGGCTCTGAGGAGAACCAGCCCAGACAGACCATCACTCGCTCCTGTCTATTTTCAGCTTAAACCAAATTTACTCACAGAGGAACTTTTGTTTTGAAACTTCTGAGAGGAAGTTTTCTGTTTTTGAGATGGATACCAAAAGTGCTTCAGCTCTGATGTTTGAGCAAAGCAGGCCAGAGAAAAGGCTGAAGGAGTAACGTGAAACGTCTTGAAAGTGTCCTGTCTGACCAACAAAGTTCCAAGAAGTTCTTCAGCCATTAGACAAGCTTTCCTCTGGCCTGATCCGTGGTGATGAGACTAACCCGGTCAAGGTGCTGGCTGTTTGTTACTGAGCGTACCTGAGGTCTGTCCTTTCTGGTTAAATCCACATTCTTTAAAGGTTAAACTAAGTAACCACTCTTCCTCTGTCCTTTCCTCTTAAACTTAATTTCAATTTGACATTAAAGATGGTATTAAAATAATTTATGTTGACCATGATTGATTTTTATCAATTAATACTTTTCGTACATACTGAACTGCAGTGGTGGGCAGCTCTAACCCAAAAATTAGCTCCGCAATTTCTAAAGGACTTATGAAAATATTTTGGTCCACAAATTCTATGAAGCTTATCCTATAGAAAAACTAGCAGAAGCCAATTTTAAAGCACAAGTTCAATTAGACACTTACTAGCTAACGATAATTCATGTACAATATATGTACAACACTGCCAACTAGGGTGTATGAACTCTTGTAGAACTTATTCCTACAACCATTGATAGCTGGGAATGTGATTTCATGAAAAAGACCTTTAGCTCCTGGTGTGAAAATTAAAAAGTTGTTGAGGATTGCTAGTTCGGCTGCTTCTTTGTCTTTTTCTTTTGTTTGTTGTAGTTTTTCATTAAAAGAAGAATCAATAAAGTCATTTTAAAACTGTTTATTGGAAAACTGAAGCGATGCATTCTGGGTACATGACGGATTTGATTTGTGACGGGAAACAAAAGCACTGAGTACAGGAAACTATCTTAACTTCAAAATAAGGGCTTGGATTTTAAAGTTTTCCATGTAGTTGCTCCAGTTGACCACTAGATGTCAGTCTTCATCAGTATAACATCTTTAAATCATTTCTGAGTCTCTAACACCGTTGGCCGATTGCTTCGACCAATTACATCAAGTATTGAGCTCCAGTGTTTAAACTTTATTTTTGTTAACAAAAGGAGCTCCTATTGTAAAGTAAAATAA